CAGGGGATGGCACTGCTAGCTAACATCTGCAATAGCTGGTGGAGGGCTGTATAAAGCAGCCCTCTTCACCTTACTGAAGCAGGGATTAGTGTTAGAGGTGTGGCTCAGTGTGGCCAATAGGGTCACAACAGTTATCTGAGACACTCATCTTCTTTTTCATGCAGTCTAGACTCAAGCTCCCACTTGAGCACATTTCTACCCCCCCACACCAAGATTTAATCTTAGATATATGAACCTTATTTTTCTGGTGCCAAATAAAAACAAAATAGAGATACTTTTTAGCATTTTAAATATTTAAAAATTCTAAACAGCAACTTTAAAGAGGGTCCATGAAGCAAACTTTTGAATCTTTCTATCTTATTTAAGGGTTCCCACCAACATAAGTTATTCCCACTCTTGGTTTTCTCCATTCATCTCAACCCTTGTTAGGCCAGGGCCCTAAAGCACCATCCTGATCCTGTCTAAAACACCTAGCAGAATACAAATTTTTCAAATACTTGACATTATTTTCCCTTGGCTACTACTTTACAATTCTTACTTTATAAATTATTTCCTCTTTTCAAAACATTAGTGTCTTTATATGGGCTGCCCAGTTAAATCACCACAAATTGGCTAAACAACAATAATTTACTTCATGCAGTTTTAGAGAATGGAAGCTCCAAGTACTATGGTTGGGTTTAGTGAGAGACACCCCCTCAATTAAATCTTCATATGACAGAAAGACAGCTCTCTGGGATCCCTTTGCAAGGTCACTCTATTTTTTTTAAAAAAAGACAAAGTCCTTTTTTGTTTATTTGTTTTTGTTTTTTACATACTAAATACCTTCTAATTGTAATCTTTATTTTTTTATTTATTTTTGTTCTGGGGATGAATCCAAAGCTTAATGAATGTTAAGTTAGTGGTCTACTACTGATTTATATCTCTAGACCTTTTTGTAAGGTCACTAATACATTAATGAGGGCTTAACCCTCATGGCCTAATCAAGTTGTAAAGGTCCCACCTCCTATTACCATAACACTGGGTCTTAGGCTTTCAAAATACATATTTTGGAGGACCACAAACATTGAGTCCCTCATAATCAATGCAAACTAACATGAATGGAAGATTTACTTTAGCATTTTCCTTGCGGATTTTTCATATCCAACTTATTCCTGCTGAAATGCTTGCCAGTGACATTTTGGGTCTAAATTCAGTTTGAGGTGATTGGTTTTGTTTTGTTTTGTTTTGCTTTGTTTTGTTTTTGGAAAGCAATACTACATCAATGACACATGATTAGCTTATTAGCTACTTAACCCTTATAATCCTTTGCCCTCTTTCTTGAAAATTAGAGCTTTAGTAGTGATATATAAGATCACTAAGATTACTGCCAAAACAAAAGACATGGAGAAATGACACCTGTTGTTGAAAAGACTGAGTTTTTTGGAAGTTTAAGGCTGAGAACTGACAACTAGAAGCTAACCCATGGGTTCTTCATCAAAACTAAGGACCAAGATTCTATACAATAAATTGGGCAACATTCTTAGTTTTTATATACTTTTCTCACTATTAGTTACATACTTTTCTCACTATTTTTCAAGGTGCTTCACTTATTACCCCCAGAGCTATGCTGCTTCTTTTCTTTGTATAAAACCCTTTATAAATGTAAAATATCTAATAAGTCATAATTCCAGGGTTACATGGAACATACTGAGCTCAAGATTCCTACCAGGTGCAATGGCACATGCCTATTATCCCAGTGACTCAGAAGGCTGAGCAGGAGGATCACAAGTTCAAGGCCAAAATTTAGCAAGGCCCTAAGCAAGTTAGTTTCCCAATACTACTGAATATTTTTAAAAAATTAATAGTGAAAATATTTTAATTCACGGAGGTCAATAGAATTATTTCATGGATTTGGGGAAGAGCTTGTGGAAGATGGGAGCTTTGAATTTGGTTTGGTGGAAAGGGGCAGGGAATATATGCTTTGTGAGAAGTAACAGAGATACAGACATACATTAGTTTGTCCCATCACAATGACATCTTCCCATTTCCTTCAGTTCTGCTGCTTTTCCTCCAAAGTTTTAAGGATTTGACTCCCATCTATCATTTCATTCTCAAGTTAAATATACCTGTATCACTGCCAGGTTTCTCTTCTCAGGACTGAAAGGCTCAGGGGTCACTCCAGTTGAATGGGCTAACTGGGCTGTGCAAAATAACCACACAAGAGACACAAATACCTTTTTCTTTGGTATTTGGGATCGCTGTGACGGCTCCTCTGACCTTAAGGGTCCTCAGGAAGAGAGAGAGAGCACGTGCTGACCCCTTTTATTGAGGAGAATCTATTCAAATGAGGCAAGGGATCTGGTTTCAGGGGGCTGAGTCTATCTTCATGATGTCCACAGTCAGCAGGTTGATTGACTGACACCTGGGTAGGCCACACCCAAGGGCACAGTAAGAGAAGGGGACACACAGAAGGCACTTCCAAGGAACATTCTACCCTAAACAGGGCAAGGGCTTATATTACAAAGGAACAGGTGAGGGTAGCTTTACCCATGGGGCTGTAGCAAGACACACCCATGCACCAGACACCGACCCTGGAACCCAAGAAGGGTGGGGAAAGCTCTGCCACATTTCTGTGACTGAGCACCTCAGCACCCAGCTGGGGAGTGTGACTCAGTCACGTGTGAGGCTGGACTCCTACATATCACCTTATTTATGTTAGCACCAGTCACTTTCTAGCACTATACTGTATTTTATTTTCTTCAAAGAATTTGCCTGAACTGGTGTTATCTAGTATATTCACTTGCCTTTATTATATTGTCTGTCATTCCTCACCATAGGTTAGCTACATGAGAAATGAGAGTTTGTCCACCAGCTATATCAACAGAAACTTATTCAGTGTTCTATGAAGTTGTTAACCAATCAACTGTGATTGTGTAGTTGGTAACTAATCAATTATATTTGTTGAATAAATGGATACAATCATGTCCTTGGTGGAACCAAGACTCAGGCATGTTCTTCTCTCAGTCTTTGTGTTCACTAGAAGTTTCCTTATTCATATTCTTGCTGCATTTAAAGCCTATTCAATGGAAATAAAAGAAAAAAATGTTGAATACTTCAAGAGATAAATTATTCTTGCATCTATCTTATAAAAGTGTGAATTTGGCCAGATGGAACACCTGGTCTTTTATGTATACCTTATGATAATTTAACATGCATTCTGGACAATTAAAAGAAAAATTCTACATATTTTCTTTTGTTTCCTCTAATACTATTTTGTGAGATCTACAATCTTCTTTTAGCTTTGGAAAACAGTTTCTTTAAAGCCCATAAGTGACTATTATAGCCATATTGTCATTAAAATTTTCTTTTAAGAAATTGTTTGCATAACAAAATGCTTCATTTATTTGTACTGACTGTTGTTTAGTTTTTCAAACAAATGGGACGTTTTATTCTGTGAATAAAGATTAGGAAAAATACAAGAAAAATCATTGGGACTTCCAAAATGAAGAATTAATTCCACTGGTTGAGATAGGAAATTTGAAATTCTGTGACCCCAGTAATCCCCTCACTCATTTTATAAAAGTTACAGACCACTCTACCCCATCTTAAAAATCTATAAGCAACACAGTGGAGATTAAAGTAAAAGAGATGTGATTAATTAAGTGCAAACTCTTCATCACTTCCATAAAATAATTTAAAATTAACTTGCCCAAAACAGCAGCTTTGAATTTAAAGGGCAGCATACTATTATAAAGAGATGTTAAAGAAACTTTGATTACTGATAAAGAAAAGTTATCTGATGTTTGTTAATAACTGTTATTAACAAGCATATAAAAAGGTTGATCAGATGGTTTCCATCAACAAGGGGATATATTTTTTTAAAAAAAGTACACAAATTATCAGAAGAAAGATATAAACTATAACTAAACTTCTTCACTGAAAAAGGCCATAAAAATGAAATAGTTATCTTGTATTAGTTAAATATAGCACTACTTGGAGGCAAAGGGTGAAAGAAATAGTATCTATCAGGGTTTTTTCCCTGGGAGAAATAGACACATATCTTAAAACAAAAGTAGTTAATCAGTACTACAATAACAAAAAAATGCACATTAAGATCTTACTTTTCCTTTTTCATCATTATACTTTTATTTGGTACCAAGAAAAAAAAATCAAAAGTGAACATGAACAGTGCGTCCAGGTTAGAGAGGTTGAAGGAAATGGAAATAAATTAGGAAAGGTAAGAAAAATTCACATTTCAACAGTGATCTGTGAATAGTAGGAAACCCAATGACATTTTTTTTATACATACCTGTTCTGATGCCCTAAACAAATCACCTAAAAATAATCCAACAAAAATTCCTTGAAAATTAATGAACACTGTTTTAGTCAGCTTTTTGTTGCTGTGACCAAATGACCTGACAAGAACAATTAGAGAAGAAAATGTTTATTTGGTTCTCACAGTTCCAGAGGTCTCAGTCCACAGATGTTAGACCCAAGGTGGGGAAGAACATTATGAAGAAATGATGTGGTAGAGGGAAACACCTCAGACTTGGCAATAAAGACAAAGAATTTCACTCACCATTGTCAAAATATAAACCCCTAAGGCATGCCCTCAGTGACCTACCTCCTCTAGCCATGCCTTACTCCCCTACAGTTACCATCCAGTTAATTTATATCAGTAGATTAATCCACTGATAAGCTTAAGGCTGTCATAACCCAATCATTCCATCTCTGAACATCCTTGCATTGTCTTGCACATGAGCTTTTGGGGTTCAACTTTTATCTAAACCATAATCCAAACGACTTTGTATATTTGCATTGTTTCCTGGTCATATTCTAAAGCATTAACCCTTGCAAAAGGGCAGTTGACGCCCAGGTGTTTCAGGGTCTTAGACTAAATTTTGTCTTGGACAAATTGTGTTGCTCTACCAATCATGACTTTGCCTTAACATTAAGGAATCAACCAGACCAATGACTTCTTTTCTGAAGCTGAACTGAGACAATGTCTTCAATTCTTTCAGGGACTATTTAAAATTAAAAGACCATTCCTCTGGCTCTCAATTCCTGGACATTATAGTGTAGAAGATAAATCCTGGAGCTCATCAAAGAGAAAGAAACAGTGCCTCTCCAAGGCCATAACCCCATCAACCTGGTTCTCCTTCCCAGATAGCACATCCAGCTCTGTATTTATTTTACTTTATTGAGTAAAGGTAAGAAATTATATTTTCATTTCATCCCTGTCCTACACCCACTTTTCTCTCAACTAAATACATCCCTAATACTATATTGTCCGCTAAGCAAAGTTCAAGAAATATGGTCTCTTTAAAAGAAACCGAGAAAAATCAATGATCTGGAGGCTAAATATATAAATCCGGTCATCAAATATTATAACTACTTCATGACTTTAGCTGTGATGTTTACTAGCATACAGTTATCATAGAGCACCTAGTTTAATGTATATCTAACTGTCATGTGAATATAAAATGTAAATTTTATTGTTTATAACTACTCTGGCCTTGTTTCTAAGCTATCAACTATCAAGAAAAATAAATAAGAAATGAGCATTATGTTTTAAAATAAATCCTGTCCAATGTTTTACACCATGGATTACAATCTTTTTCTATAAAGGGCAAGGTAGTGAACATTTAAGGTTTGCAGGCCATATAGACCACTATTCATGGGATTAAGAGAGACCAAGTAAGCTGGGACAGCATTATTTTGGGGTACCTCAGTGAGTCAGTGAAGGTGTTTCTATAGGGATTGTCATTTGAATAAGTGAATTGAACAAGGATGATCCACGTTCATCCAGTGTGGTGTACACGGTTCAATCTACTGAGATTAAAAAAAAAAAAGGCAGAGAAAAGGAAAACACGTTATTTCTCTCTTCTGGATCTGAACCATCTATCTTCTCCTCCTATTGCGCATCAGAACTCTAGGTCATCTGTCCTTCAGACTGGGACTTACACTAGTGGTCCACCAGGTTTTCCTGTCTTCAGCCTTGAACTTTGACTTATCTCATTGGCTCCTTTTGTTCTTAGCTGTGGACTTGAACTGAGCCATGATTCTAGCTTCCCTGGCTCTCCAGTTTGCAGAAAGTATGTCTCAGCCTTTACAATCACATGAACCAATTCCATTAATAAACCCCTTCTCATGGAGTGGGGGGAGAGATTGAGATCTCCTACTGGATCTGTTTTTCTGGAGAAACTTGATTAATAAACAGGTTCTCTTGCAAATATTCAACTCTATCATTTTGTAGCAAAAACAGCAGCCATAGACTATCTATAAATGTATTTTTTTCCAGTAAAATATTATTAAAAATCAGACACTGACTGAATTTGGCATATAGCTTGCTAACTACTGATTGAATAAGTCCTTTTTTCCTAATTTTAGATTGTTATTTCTTTCACATAGTCTGTTTCCACCTGCTTTTCTCCCTTAAATAAAAGAGAATGAGAGGTGGCATCTTCCTGCCTACTATCTGCCTACCTCAGAAGCAATCTCCTTGTCCACCTGCTTCTGGCTTGTCCTTGTGGTTTAAGTTCTAAGGTAAGGATAATTTGAGATTTGGGACATCCCCAAAAGGACACTGAGTTGAGCTGCCTGGCTACACTGGATCCCCCTCAGTTCCTTTGTCATTCTGCCCTTCCAGGGGTCTGATTGTGATTCCCTCCTGTCTCAGGCCAGTGGGCAGCTGTGCAGTCCCACAAACCACTTCACCTCATTATGGCAACCACCTCTGACAAGCTTTCCTCTTCATGTGCATCCCACCCACACTATATGTAAACCAAGAGCAATTTGAGGAAATATCCCCCAAGATCTCAGGTGTTTGAATATACTAACCAAGTTTATTTTGACTGTTTCTGTAGTTTGGAAGAGACTTGCCTACTTCTGTATGTTTTTAATACTAACCTAAATCATCTATCACTCTCCATTTAGGCCAAAGCCCAGAGAGCTTCTCTCAATCTTAAACTTAGTTGTGTTATAAAGAGAATAAAGGCATCTGAAAAATCTCTCAAAATAATAACTAAGCTTGCATCTTGCACTATATTTCAGATGCTGAAAATTATACTCTCCTTTCTCCTTTTATTTATTTTCTAATGAATCCTAATTAACAGACCTCACCTCTGAGGTAGATGAAGTAGACAGGTCTGATAGGATAAAGACTGTGAATTGAAAAAACATCCAAGAAGGGAAATTTATAAATAAATTTCAAAATATCACTCCTGTTTTATAAATGTACCTGTGTTTCCTGTGCAAAAACCTCTCTAGGTAACCATCATTATTCTAAGCCTTTATTTACTCATAGTTGTAAGGGAATTCCATTTTTGAAAACACTAGAAAAATTGTCAGACTTAAGAACAAATTTCAGTATCCACCTACTTTACCATTCTGTTTAACCAGACCATCCTGGGTTCGGGAGCCAGGACACAATGGTAGGAAGAAGGATGTACAAGAATATGTACCAAGATAGCCAAAACAAACTTCTGATCCAGCAAGGTTTTACATTTGTAAATTTGCATTTGTTTGAGTGTTAGTCCTAATCCACTTGACTCAGTGAATTTGGACTTTTTTTTTCATTTTGAATTTTAAATATCACAATTGTATTTTCTTATTTCATGAGGAGAGAAGACAGTGAATTTATTAAAGAAAGAGTCTTGGAATAGATTCTACAATACAGCATTAGAATTCCTGTTGTGTCACTACATATATGATATTGGTAATAATTTGAACTTTAACATCTATTTCAAAATACCTTTAAGCTATAGTATAAGGATGTAAGAGTGGGTGATCACAAAGATATCTTCCAGTGAAAAATTGTTTCTTATTTTCTATTGTTATTAACCCAAATTCTTATGAATGTCTTCATCTATAGTTAATACAAGAATTGAAATGTTTTCATTGTCAATTAATTGAGAAGGATTAATTAAGGAAAAGTTAGCAATAGTTTTTAATAATTTCATAATTTTAGAGTTATTTATGAAACTAAACTCTTCACTTGATTAACTATATAAATTGAAGGTATATAAACTGCAATATGTAAGAGTCTTATGCTTATTGATATATAATACTAGTTAATATAATACAATAGAAAATAGTCAACCTCCCCTCTCGTTGCTATATATACTTAATTTGACTATTGAATTGTGTCTATATTTGCTTTACATAACCATCTACTATTGGTAATTCATGTAATTTCATGGTGAAAAAAATTATATTCTTTTGCTTTAAGTATCTCAAGCACATTTGTATTTTACAGAATTATCATCTAACAACAACAAAAAAAGAAAACCTTTGCAACAGTTGTAGTTTTGAGAAAAACCTACTCTTTTAATGCATGAAAGTTGTTGTATTTAGAAATTTCTAGATATTTGCAGCTTAGGTGTTGTTACCACATATTGCATATGACCATATAAGATGTATCCTTCTCCATTTCAAGGAAAGAAAGATAAAATGCCGCAAGGTTAGAATATTTTCTTGAACTTTCATTTATTTGTATCTAAGACATTGCCTCATTTGATAGATATTTGTACCTCCTGTGTAGCAGAAATTCTGATATGTACAAGGAATAGAAAACACAGTACTTGGTCTATGCTTCCTTGAGCTTATGTTCTGATCAAGAAGGAGTAAAATTATGTTCTCATTGTAATTCAAGTGACATATCAGAGACATGAATAGCAGTTTGGGGAGCATAGAGGAGGAACCTATTATCAAGGTAAAATATTTTAAAGATATCTGTTACTCAAAAAGACTTATATGTTTACTACTTCTGTTTGTTGTTGTTTATGAGTTAAGGGAGTTCCTTTTATTCAGTTTAGTGTCGATTCATAGCATTATGTCACAGACACACAAACCTGAAAGCATATTTAATGAGCACTGGTTATAGGCAATGCAAGGCTTTAGGTAAGTTAGTTTGCTGGCTGAAAGAAATAAATGGAATTTCAGTGCATAAGAACTGAATGATGAATAAATGACAATGAGTGAAAAATTACTTACTCTCAAAGAGAACACCTGAAAAATATGTTTTCAGAAATTGAAGGTCAAAGAGGGGCAAACTACATCAGAGAAAATTAGTTTCTTAATCTCATGGAGCCAGATTTGCCTATTGAGCATAGAGCTTGTGACAAAATAATTGTCCAGTAATTACTCTAAAAAATGGAACAAAATCAAATTAAAATGAAGCAAATTGCCTTTTGCATTGCAGCCAATGACAAGTAGTGACACATTCATGCTGCAAAATACCACTTTCTTTTTGTGAGAAGTGACCTACTGCTGGATGATTAAGTGACTAAGCAGTCCCATGTAAAATTTCTTGCAACTCTCTCTTTCAGAAGAAGTATGTTTTTTTTTAATTGCTACTGCTACATGTGGTGATCTCATATTCAATAAGAAAAGCTATATATTTAAGACATACACATGCATGTGTGACAACCATCAGAGTTCATATTTACTAAGGGCTTGCTCTGTTCCAGGGACTGTCCCAGGTAGTTTATATGTATCAATTAATTTTACATGTACAAATATAAGAGGTAGGTATTCTTGTTTGTAGAGGAACAGCTGGGATGTAGAAAGGTTGAAGAGATTGCCCAAAAGTTTTAAAGACAACCAGTTAGATCCAGGATTTGAAACCAGTCTTGCTGTGTCCAGAGTGAGTATCGCAGTGACAGAAGTTTACATCACTGTGCCCCACCTGGTCCAGACACCAGTGGTCTTCCAGTTTACATTTTTAAAATTTATTTATTTTTCATATTTTATTGGTATATTGTAGTTGTACATAGTGGTAGAATTTGTTGTCACACATTTATACATACACAAAAAATATAACAATATAATTGGGCCAATATATTTCCCAGTTTTTCCCCTTTTCCTTCTTTTCCTTCCCCCTGGTTTCTTTACTGATCTCCCTTCCATTTCTTGTTCTTTTCCTGTTTACATTTTTAAAATATACAATCTAAGACTGATTTCACATAACTAAAAGTAAAGAATCTTTTATTTGAGCTATAGATGAAGACATAGGGGGGGATAGGTTCAGTCATCTGTTTAATCTGCTACATATATAATCCTACTATTATAGCTTGAAAGACAAAGGGATGCCATTGAAGATCTGCGGATGTCTCAGACATCACAAGAAGACATTCATGATTTGCTTCTGCTTTCCAGACTCAGAAAAACAATTTTATTTCAGCACCTGGAGATAATCAGTCATATTTACATACACAAGTAGGTAAATGAGCCTTGAGTTCATAATCCCCATGCTACAAAAACTTCTTAGTATTTCTACCTGATACATAAAATAAATATTAACAACAACATTAGTATTTATTTTGTACTTACAATTTGCTAGGACCATTAGAATGCCTATAATATTTCTAACACATCATATAGGCATCACTGCACTAATACAAAAACTTAGGAGTGCCCAAGAGCAGAAAAACATAGTCAATTCTGAGCATATATGCAAAAATACTTGGGTGAATATAAGCACTAAGTTGAACAGAAAATTAGGGTTATGCCCATAATATAAGGGAAAAAATCTGTTGAAATAATATTGTATCAAAGACCCAAAGTGAAAAATTATAGGATACTCTAAATAGATTAAAAAAGACATTTAATTTAATAAATCAAAAAAATATAGTTGTTACTTGATTTAAAAGTGGAAGAAAAATCAGTAGTCTTAACATAAGAACACTATCTATTTTATATAAGGGCCAAATATTACACAGTACTTTCAAGAATATATAAATCATCATATTTATTTAACTTTATTCCAGAAGTTCTAAGCCAAAAGAATTTTTTTTTACCTGTTGAAAGTTATAAATAAAATTGTTATTTGCAAAGCCTACGCTTATATAACTTGGAGACAAAAGAAATAAGCACAAAATTCTTAAAATTAATGAATTCTATAATTCAGTTCAATAAAATATAAAAAATCCATAAATTTGCTCTATTTCATAAATACTCAGGATATTAAAGGAAGTAAAACAGTCAGTATGTAGCAGCCAAAAAGACAATGAAGGATGAAATGATTTAGAAAAAAATAAGTATTTCCTATGTAGATAACCACCACCCTTTACTCAGATATATGAATGACTTTAATTGACTTACATATGTGTTCACTAAGAACTACTTTCAGCGTGTCATTTTATACAAATCACTGAAATATATATAATGATATATTTCTTCAAAATACAAATATATTTCAAGCCATTTTGTAAGAGTATTTCTAAAGTTATCTGGAAGAATAAATAAGTTATGTATTATTAAATAATTATGAAAATGGAAAATATACTATAACACTACAATCAACAGAGAAATGAATTGAATAGAATACACATACTTGAAAAAATTTAGACACATACATGAAAGTGAGAAATAAAGCCTTAGAAAAAACACATGAAGGAAAGTTACGTTGTCAATACCATTGGGAAGAATTGACTATGTAATTGAAAAATATATTGAGCTTTTCCTTATTGTATATTAAGTATGAAAATATTTCCCCAGAATTAAAAGTCTAATATAAAATAATCATAAACAAAAGTTAGAATAATATATCAGTTTGACTGATTTTTATTTGAGATGCTTTAAGAGGAAAAATACAAAGAGAATCAAAGGGGAAATAAGACATATTTGACTATATAAGATATAATAACATTTGTACACAAAAATATGAAAGAAAAATCAAAAAACAATTTGCACAAAACTTTGAAACAAAAGGAAATTGAAGAAGTATTGTCATTTATAAATATAACTGATAAAATGTTCCTTTGACTTAGCACATTTAACAGTAAAATTGATTTGGAAAATAGATAAATGAGCAATTCCATTAAAAATAAATATGAATAGCTAAAAATAAGCATATTTCATTAGAAATCAAAGTGAATTAAACCAAAATTTAACAAATCATATACTTTTTATCAAATGCAAAAAGAAGAGGCACATACATTTTAAAAGACAATATTAGGTTTTAATAAAGGAGATCTTTTCTACTTTAAAAGGATAAAAGAGTTTTTATCTCTTTCAGTAAAGACATATTTTCTTAAAATTACTCATGATGTTTCATGTAGTTTTATTTCTTCTCTAAATCAATCATAAGAGGAAATTTTTTAATGTAGCCATATATTTTTGTACAAATTTAATATGTGGCAATATTTATATTAAGGAACTGAAAATAATCCATATAACAAACAATATATGAATGTTTAAGTTAGTTGCAGTATATTTATCCAGCTAAAGATTTTTCAGTCATTAAAAATCAAGCTTTTTTTTTAAATGACTTTGAGAAAATACTCAAACACAAATTGCAAAAACTCAGAAGAAAAAAATATCTATATATATATTGGTTCTCACTATTGTTTTGAAACATTTCACACACAACAGGACATTGAAAATAGTTGATAGTTAAAATAACAAAATAGATCTACACAATAAAGACTAGAAAAACACAAAAAAATATTGTGATTATTTATATGAGTTGCAATATAGACTGCTGGCACTTAATTATATTTGTGTATTCTCAGAAACGTATATAATAAATATTGAGTTAATATAAAAAAATCAGATTATTGAATAGTTTAAGGCTGTGTTTAGTGAAGAGGCAGACAGAGATCTGAAATATTGTACTAGTGAACACAGAGTCTCAGGTCTAGATAGTAGAAGCCCCCTGGGTCACTCACATAGTGGGGAGTATGCAAGTTATCCAACAGCTCTGTATTTTACTAAGATGTTGGATTGCTTATGGGACATTCTCTAAAGAATCATGCCTCTTAATTTTACTAAAGTTTAGGTTAGTTTACAACAACTTCTTCCTTAACGTTATTTCCTAGAAAAGAATTCTTCCAGCAAATTTTATTGTCTGTTGGCTTCAATCAAAGTCAAGTTTATCAGGTTTACAACATTACACCAGGTCACAAACTTTCCTCTCCCTTACTCTCCAGGAACTTTTGCTTGGTAAACAGGAGGAATCTTAGAATAGCTGTTTTAACTCCTTCTTCCCCCAAATTACTTATTCAGTTTTTTTTTCCCCAAAGAGAGAATGAAAGGGGAGAAATAAAATACTCATAGTGCTTGCTACAAATTGGAAAGAAACCTGGCCAACACCAGATAAGAGTCAGCAGTTCACTGCAATAATCAGAAATAAGCAATATAGGCTAAGTAGGATGGAGAAGGGGAGCAAGATTTAATACATATGACCACATTTCAATTGAATAAATGTAGTAATTGACTAGATATATGGTTAAAGGAGTTGAAGAAATGATGATTTACAATTGATATCCTGGGTGGGCAAGTGGCTGTTTATGGAGACAGAGAAACCAGGAGCAGTGTTTGGGAGGGTGATGTTCTTTAACAGAACATAAGAAGACTATGACTTTATTTAAATTGTGAAACAAACCAGTAAAAATACAGAAATTAAACATATAGGGGAAATGAAGGCTAATTGATGGAATGAAATCATTTTATTCATTTAGATTCCAGAACTTAATGAGGGAGACCAGCCTTAGATACAGAGACAGTAGTCTTTTCCACTGTGGTGCAAAGAAAGAAGAGTGCTTTCTTTTGACGGATTCTTTGTGTGCCTTCCATTTTCTCTATAGTGTTCACAAAATATGGCACTTCTTCTGGATATTTAACTACTTGGCAAACTGAGTATTCAAATAATCATTGATTAGGAATGAAATCAGAGCAAGAGAATTAGATGACCCTTGAGAAAGAAACCAATGGAGCCAAGAGAATGTCCTAATATCACACCCCTGCCATCACCACCAAGGATTGAGGCATTTGTAGCTCAAAGACTACCATTTCTCACCATGAAATTTTTGTTGTTGTTTGTTTCTTTAAAGAGCTCCCCTTTTTCACCTTTCTCCTAATGATATCATCATCTTTTTAATAATGTTGATTAGTTCATTTTCACATTTTTCACTTGCAGGTTGATTGAACTTAGATTTTTCTTAAGATCTCTTTAGCGACGTTTGTCCTATTGTCTCTTATGCTTTTGACTTATTCATAGCTCATTCTTCCTATTTCAGTTGTACTGGCTTGTCCTTTTATTGTAAATTTAACTTGAGTTTAAGGAACTCATTAACCACAGTGATATATTTTTATTTAATCCCAGTAAAGCTGCTGCTAATTAGTTTCACAGGAGTTCAAAAGATGATCAGCCTGCAAAATTTGGTCTGATCTGGGAACTGTTGCCATGGCAATGCCCCATCCAATACAGTGTTTACCTTTACAGGTAGATGTTCTCTCTTTTACTCCCGCAGTGTTCTTCTTACAATCTTGTTATCATCCTTTGATACACAAGATGGTGTTTATTTTATAACTGCATATTATTCATGGTTCTCCAGAGAAACAGAACCAAACAGAAAGAGATTTGTGATATGTATATAATACATACAGAAAAAAAAATTTATATATAGGAAGATATTCATTTTAAGGTATGTACATAGAAAGATTTATTAGGAGGCATTGGCTCACATGATTATAGAAGCTAACAAGTTGGAAGATTTTCCATCTGCAAACTAGAGAACCAGGAATGCTGATTGTAGAGTTTGAAGGCCTACAAGTAGAGAACCTATGGTGAACATTTCATTCCAGATTGGAAAGCCTGAGAACCAGGAGCATAGAGAGCAGAAGATCCACTTCCTGTCTCAATCAGTTGGGCAGAGAGCAAAGAAAGCCCTCCTCCACATTATTGCTTTATTTAGGCCTTCAACATACTTGATGGTGCCCACCACGCTGGAGAGGGCCATCTGCTTTATTCAACCCACCAATTAAAATACTGATCTATGTCAGAAGCACCCTCACAGACACATCCAGAAATAACAGTTTAAACATCTATCAGGTACCCCATGGCCCAAACAAGTTGACATATGAGATTAACTTAAAAGGGCAAGAATTTCATGTTAGGAAAAAGGGTGTAGGAAAGAGTGAAGGAGAATAAGCCAGTTGGTTTCCTGGGGATTACTATCTTACTACCCCCAACTACAACTTTTATTGTTACCAGATAGAGGACAAGAAATTAAATAAAATCTTCTAAGAGAGCAGCTGTGAATGTCTCAACAAATTCAAAACTGCTTTGTTGGTGGAAAAGTTTGATTCAGACATCCAGTTTTCCAATAGCAACATAAACCCAAAAACACTGAAAACAGAGGGCGAGAGCTTATGGAAGAGTTAGATTTAGAAGTCTAGGCCCAAATATTCAGTGGGTATGAGGAGTGACACGGGGTCAAGTGAATTCTCAAATTCATGGTAGCTCAGTGATGGAGGGCTAATAGGGTCAGTAGGTACTTGTGGTTGTCAAACAGTTTTGGGATTTATATGAAACTCACGATCTTTCACTGAAACAACTGGAATGTACTTTGAAGAACAGAAAGTCTCCTTGACAATACCAATGAAGGATCAAACTATTACAATATGTTCACTAAAATCTTATGACTTATATAGTAGTCTAGTGAAATACAAGAAATTCAGATTGTCAAAATTTATAAAGAAGGAATCCTTTACTCTGTTTTATGCAATGATTGAAGTCACTACGTGTAAATCCTCTAAGAATACTCACTTGGTGGTATTCTAACAGCAGCCCATTTTAAATTTTGAACCTAACTCTTGCTGTTCCATCATTGCAATTCATTTTAAAACTGATATGGTTTGCTTTTCCTTTCCCTTCTGTCTCTCCCTCTCCCTAACATTGGGGGAGCAAGATAAACCTTCTTCCTGTCCTAGGCTGAGTTATTCGTCCTTGTGCACACACACACCACAGAAATATAGTAATGCAGACTTTGGGATGGCACCAGAAGACTATCTCTAGAGTCTACAAGTAAATCATGACCTGTGAAGAGGCACACTTGGATTGTGGCCTTTGAGACTCCTCTTTAAAAGCCCTTTGTTCCCCCTGATGGTCATAATCACAGACTCTGGTGCAGAAGTCCCCTGTGTTTCTCCTTTACTAACAAAACAATAAAACTTTTTTTCCTTTTTTTCTCAAAACTGTGTCTTCATTATTAGATTGACATCAGAGACAAGGACCCAAATTTTGGTAACAAATTGGCACACAATGTGAGGCCCAAGAGCAACCCCCACTCCAGCCATCTTTAGGCAAGTCTGGTATTCTGAGTAGTCCGTTCCATGCTGAGGATTCAAGGTGACTGGTGAGTTTGTTGAGAGCTAACTGCTGAAGAATTTGGAGACAAGGTGAAATTGCCTCTGGCCAAACCAAAGGAGCTGAGAGAAGTGGGGAACTGAAGAACAGCTGTCTCCAAAGTCTCCTTTTGCTTCTGGGAACTCCTGCCTTCTCGTCTTATATAGCAGGGGTTGCTCCTCCAACTGGTCTAATTTGAAATAAAAGGAAACTAAACACAGTAAATTTCTGACACCTTGACAATCTGGTAAGCTTCCATAGTGTACATACCAAGACCCTTGATTCTACACATCCGGTTCCCCTTCCTGGCAACATATGTGACACCATTAGTATAGGAGTCACCATTAACTAGGAGTAGAAAAATTAGGTTATTTTTCCCCCTATTTGGTCTGTTTATTTTTTTATTATTAGTTGTTCAAAATATTACAAAGCTCTTGACATATCATATTTCATACATTTGATTCAAGTGGGTTATGAACTCCCATTTTTACCCCGTATACAGATTGCAGAATCACATTGGTTACACATCTACGTTTTTACATACTGCCATACTAGTGTCTGTTGTATTCTGCTGCCTTTCCTATTCTCTACTATCCCCCCTCCCCTCACTTCCCCTCCCATCTTCTCTCTCTACCCCATCTACTGTAAGTCATTTCTCTCCCTTGTTTTTTTTACCCCTTCCCCTCACTTCCTCTTGTATGTAATTTTGTATAACAATGAGGGTCTCCAGAGAGAAGGGAAATTGCATGGAAATGGTCTGTTTATTTTAAAGATTCTCATCTGTTGGCCCTGGTTTCCAGGATCCCCTTTGGTTATCTGTCTCTGTTTTTGTTTCTATCTGTTACTGGCCCTTTAAGACATGTATCTTGTTTCATTGATTCTATTGGTAATCTCTTGGGAAAGAGCTTGGCTATAAGTCTGTCTAAAAAAGCAAGATGGTGCTTTATCATAACACAATCTGGCCTTTAAATGATTTTCTGAATTGTTATACAATCTTGCAATTGGAGTTGGTCTCAGAGGTAAAGTAAGTGGAAAAAAGAAACTCCATATGTATATTTATTCATTTACATGAAAAGGGGTCTGAACAGCTAGAAACTAAGTTGATAGTACAAAAGGGCATTGTCTGATGTGTGCTCAGATAGCAGGACACCAAAAGAAAGGTTTAAACACACACACACACACACACACACACACACATTTAAATCCTTTCAATCAAGTGCTAGGAATTCCAGCATTGCTTCTCAGCTCAGCCCTAGGCAGTCAGATAATTCCTTTCATTTCCCCCTAGGCTGGGGGTGGGGGCAGAAATCCCAGGAAAACTAGATCTGGCCTCTGCCCTATCTTCCATCCCTTTTTGCCCTGGGAGGTGAGAGGCTGCTGGCAAAAAAGGATGTGGAAATGGGTACTGACACTGTTGGAGTACGGCCTGAGGCCAGGAATGGCCTCCTCCACTTTAAAATCTGACAAGACACCCCATTTGGCCAAGGGACAGCAATCACTAGGGCACAAGAATTCTTGCTATAACAGTATCCCACCAAACTAAATTCACAGGGAAATTAGCGGGATAAATAACTACATGCAGAGAAAACAAACTATGTCTCAGAAGTTGACGATGAAAGTAGAGAAAAAAACTATAACTTCTTGAGCTTTGGCAAAAGTAGCAGCTATAAAAATAGAGCTGAACAACTTCAGGGTGCTAAGGTCTGGCTACAAATACTAAAGGCCCTGAACTGCTCTGACTGTACTGCAAATACACCAAAAACAGCAGGAGCATGTAGAGATAAAGAGCCCCTAACCCTAACCCTAACCCTAACCCTAACCCTGTTTGGCCTCAGCACTGGGAACTAGGTCCCTCAGGCCCTGATTGTAAACCTGAGGCCAAAGCAGCCTGCCTCTACTTGCTCCCTGACCTTGTATACCCTGAACCAATTGCGGAGCTCTTTTGCATGCCAGCCAATAGATCTGGGTGGATCCCTGCCTATTGCCCAGAGAGCTGAAATATGGTCTCCTGGAGTTCCCCTTTTTTCTGCTGGTTTCTATAGAGAGTGGTTCCTAAAAATTTCTGTATGTTTGATGTGACCTTCTATGAACATAGAGCTGCAGACATTAAACAAAAAAAAAAAAAAAAAAAAAGCCCTCAGTGGACAGGGGAGAAAAAACTGATATAATCCCCTCGTGGCTAGTTGATATTGCCCTTAAGGTATGTTATGCTTGGAAGGAAGAGAAACTAAAGGCAACTCAGATCCCCGCAAAGGGATCCTCAAGTAAGCCTAAAGAAAGGAATATAAATTACCTCCATTCATGAAATATTAATATACATACAGTTAAAAAAAATGTCCCATAAGAATTTCAGATTATAATTGATAGTGGGAAAGTGACTTAAATTTGGCAATACAGTGATAATGATAAGAGTGGCAAGGCAGTCTCAGCTCTAGCACCTTAAATAGAACCTGAGGAAAAAAGACTAAGACACAGTTTTGTATATGCCAAATTGAAAATTGTTGTATACATTAAATACTCAGATAACCTTCTCACCCCAAAAGCAACAACTTCCATTTAAAAGTGCGATAGGCCATGGTTCCAGCTTTCACTTGCCACTCAGGAAAATGAAACTAAGTCTGTTCTGCAAAAGGGCCACAAAGAAGTTAATAAGGCTATTTGGGCCAAAGGAACCCTGGAATGGATGATGAGTGTAACCCCAATCAAGACTTTGTTTAAGGAAGAGGTAATGCACCCCAGGAAGAAACAATCAATACTCCTTTGAGAAAGAGACATCGATGGGACTCATTCTTTTCTGGAAAAAAAAAATTAAAACATGGATTGAATCAGCTTTGCGAAATACCCTACCATATGCCTATTCTGCCCATAAGAAACCTTACAATGATAAGAACCAATATGTATAAGACTTAAGAGCTATAAACAATACTGTTTAGGATATTCAGCCCTAGTACCAAACATATATCCTATTGACTATTTGCTTTTGAATGGCATTACTCTGATACCAAAGTAACTACTGAGTATTTCTGGACTAACCCACTTCAGAGACTTAAAAATCTCTCCTACTCTGTTTAATGAAGTCTAACAAAAGACCTGTGAGAGATGCAACTGGATCAAGGAATCCTTTTACAACATGTGGATGATCTGCTTATAGCCAGCCCCAACTATGAACACTGCCTTTCAAACACTACTGCTTCACTAAACCATGGTACCTCACATAGATATATGGTGTCCACTAAAAAGGCTCCGTTTTGTAAACAAGTTGACATCTTGGATTCCAGAATAGCCAATGGAACTGATGTTGAATGTCACATCAAAAGCAGCCTATTTTGAGCCTTAAAAAAGCCAGAAACAAACAAACAACAATTTAAAAAAAAACTGTTCTATATGTTCCTGGAATGTCAACACTCTGTCATACTTGGGTCCCTAATTTTGGAATAACAGCTAAATTGTTGTATAAGGCTTTAAATGGGGGGCACTACCTTGACTTGTACCTCAGAATGCCAGGTTTCCTTTGAGAAATTAAAATAAAACTTCATGACAGTCCCTGCCCTAGTCCTGTCTAACTTGTAAAAGAAGTTCAGACTACGTGTACATGGAAAACAAGATACAAAGCTTAGGCAGAGGGTCACAAATTCAAAGCCAGCCTCAAAAATTTAGTGAGGCCCTAAGCAAATTAGCAAGACCCTATCTCAAAATTTACAAAACTTAAAAGGGAAGAGGATGTTTTTCAGAGGTTTGGCACCCCTATATTCGTACCCCCAGTCTCCCCCCTTGCCAGAAAAAAAGTAAAAAATAAAAAACAAGATACAGCTCTTAAAGTTCTCTTATAAACTGGAAGAAGACATACTGTGACCAATAGTCTATTTGTCACAACATCTTCACCATATGGTAAATGATAATTACTAGCTGACTGCAAGGAAGACAGGGAGATAATACCTTAGCCTAAATTATACCAATACACACACTTTTATACTGAGGAGAACAACAAATAGGCCAAAAAATGGGGTTTTAACTCCATGATAGAATTGCCAAAGACAAACAAAATTCCTATGGACTTATACTGCTTCCTAAAAGACAGGTCTGGCCTTTGGTTAAGCATTTACCTCAGAGTATGCACTGTGGGAGGGATACCTTGACGATCTTCATTCAGCAAGCCCTATTTGTGAAAGTCACACCTCCAACAGACTATTCAGCAAGTGACTCAAAACTGTGTCTGGTAAACCTCAAATAATCCAAGGACTGTAAAAAGACAGCCTGTGTGAAAATAGAGCCTTTTGATGATCAACAAGTAAATTTTACTCAAATGCCCTATGCCATGGGAAACTTCAGATATTAGCTTGACCTGGTAGGCTCCTTTTCTAGATGATTCAAGGTTTATCCTACCAGAACAGAAAAGGCTTTAAAAATATTTAGAGTCCTCTTACAAGTGGACTTCTGATCCCAAGATACAGGGTCCTCTCCTTGATACAAAGTGACAATGGACTATCTTTCATGGCAGAAGTGAACAAACAATAGCTAGACCAAGGAAGTTACACACATCCTGAAAAGCCCAATCTACAAGGGAAAAAAAAAGAAAAACATTTATCACACCTTTAAAAAAGATGATGACTTCCAGGAGTGATGGTGCACACCTCTAATCCCAGCAGCTCAGGAGTCTGAGGTAGGAGGATGGCAAGTTCAAAGTCGACCTAAGCAATTTAGGGAGGCCCTGAGCAACTTAGTGAGACCCTGTCTCAAATTAATTTTTTTTAAAAAGGGCTGGGAATGTTGCTTACTGGTCAAGCACCCATGAATTCAATCCCCCAGTACCAAAAACGAAAAAGGATGGTGACTAAATTATGCCAAAGAACCCACCTACAATCAGATGAAGTATTGACAATTGCTCTCCTCCCAGAACCAAGCTTAAATTCATTCCATAAAGAAATAGCATTTTTCAGAACCTTTCCTGGTACCCTGGTAAAGAGAGGAACATGTGGCTTAAAAATATTAGAACAGTATGAACAACAATTGGATATTACTTGTTATACATAAGTGTCCTTCTTCCAGTTCCCTATCAAGGTTAGAGTCACTTCTGGCAAAGGTCCAAAAAAAAAAAAAAAAAAAATGACAACAGGTAAAACCTTCCATTCTAAGATATCCTTCATCATCTATTTTCAGCCGGAAACAGCTTTGAGATGTCATCATCCATTTTTCCATAAAAATGGAAAGAAGAAATTGACAATGGGGAAATGTAATAAGGCCACTTCA